GTGCGTGCGTGCGTGCGTGCGCGCGTGCGTGTGCGTGTGCGTGTGCGTGTGCGTGCGCGTGTGCGTTTGCGTGTGCGTGTGCGTGTGCGTGCGCGTGTGCGTGTGCGTGTGCGTGCGCGTGTGCGTGCGCGTGTGCGTGTGCGTGTGCGTGTGCGTGCGCGTGCGTGCGTGTGCGTGTGCGTGCGCGTGCGTGCGTGCGTGTGCGTGTGCGTGTGCGTGTGCGTGTGTGTGTGCAGGTGTGTGCTCTTCGAACGGCGGCGGGCGGCGGCGGCGCCCAGATGACTGCGAGGGCGAGGAACAGCACTCCAGATGTCGGGCCATTGGGGGGGTAGGGAGAGAGATGAGGAGACAAGAAGGAGCAGGAAAAGGAGGAGGAGGAGGAGGAGGATGGGGAGGAGGAGCAGGAGGAGGAGGCCGGAGGGAGGAGATAAGGACATGAGGAGGTGAGGAGACGAGGAGGTTGATGGAGGTGGGAGGAGGGACAGGGAGGGGACATGGAGGGGACAGGAGGAAGAGAGCGCGCGGGGGAAGAGGGAGGGAGGGGAGCGGTGGCATGCGAAGCATGCAGGGGGGAATGAGGATGGGTGCCTCCCAGATGGGACCAAAGCAGACGCGGTCGGTGGATCGCACCGCGTCGCCGACGCATCGGCGATTCATCGGCGACGTGGGGAGAAGAGTGACGTATATGCATCGACGGCACGGCCCGATCCACCGAACCCATCTACACTGCAGAACGAAGGAAAGAAGGGACAGGGATGAAGACGGAGGGCCGAGGGAGGGAGAAGAAACGAAAACAAACGCATAAACATTAGCTGTTGGAGGTCCGCGCGGGTTTCTTGGAACCCCGCTGGGACCCCCTCCTTAGCGCGCGGAGCGCGCCAGGGGCGGCGGCGGAGATGCCGCCAGGGGACCCAGCGCAGATCCAAGAAATCCACGCGGACCGTCGAAAATTGATGCTTATGCCGTGAGAGGAGGAGGAGGAGGAGGAGGAGGAGGAGGAGGAGGAGGAGGAGGAGGAGGAGGAGGAGGAGGAGGAGGAGGAGGAGAGCAGGAGGAGGAGGAGGAGGAGGAGGAGGAGGAGGAAGAAGGAGGAACCATAAGGATGAAGAGGAGGCACGCGCCTTGGCGGCAGCCTTGGCTTTGGGCTTGGCCTGGGCCTGGAAGGATCCCGCGGTGCTCGCCTGGGCAGCCGAGGGAGGGGGGAGGGATGGGGAGGAGGATGGAAGACAGAGGTTGAGAAAGTGGGAGGACGAGGGAGGGGCGAGGGAGGAGAAGGTGGGCGGGGGCTGAAGGAGGGAGGGAGGGTGGGGGGGAAGGAGGGGGGGGAGGGAGACGGGGGCTGCGCGCCGCCATGCTGAAAGCTCTCACCCCGAGAGCCATGGAGGCCACAATCGTAGCAGCCGCCACCCTCACCCAGCGAAGGGAGGCCCAGCCCTGGAGGGAGAGCAAGACAAGGCCAGGACGAGGATAACATCGGGTGCGGATACACCTGGGAATCGCTGAGATCCGGCGGCTCTGGAGGATGTCTCGGGCGCCGCAGCGTTCTCAGAGCGTTCCGGAGCGCTCTGAGAGCGTTCCGGAGCGTTCTGGACCAGAGTTATCCTCGCTCTAGCCCCGTCCGAAGAAGGGAGGCGAGGGAGGAGAGGGATGGCGAGGGAGGACGAGGGAGGAGTGGGGATGAGGAGGGGGAGGGAGGAGAAGGAGCAGGGAGGGGGGGGGAGGAGAGAGGACGAGGGCAGAGGAACTAGGGGGGAGGGCGAGGTGGAGGCGGGAGGCTCGACAGAGGTTGCTCATGGGGTTCCAGCCCGCTCCAGAGGGGGAATGCAAACGAGCAGGGAGGACGGGTAGGGAGGGAGGGAGGATGGGTAAGCTCGAGGAGGGACGAGGACGAGTAGTACCCTCATCCTGTTGCCCGCTCTCTTCTCGTCCCCTCATGCTCATCCATCCGACTTACCTGTCTCCTCCTGTTCCTCCATCTCATCCTCCCCCTCTTCTTCCTCTCTCCTTCCTGCTTTCTCAATCCTCCTCTCTTCTGGTCATCCCTTCCCTTCCTCATTCAACACTCTCTTACGGATTCCCTCTCATATTGCCCGCCATTATACGATTCCTCCTCCTCCTCCTCGTCATCCCTTTCCCTTCTCTTCCTGCCAACTCATCGTCCGCCTCCACCCTTCTCCCTGGGAGCTGGGGAATCCTGGGAGGAGTAAGCGAAAAGGAAGAGAAGGAGGAATCCAGTAGGAAAGAGGAAGAAAGAAGAGGAGAAATAAGGAGCGAGGAGGATGAGGAGGCCCGTGCCGAGGTCGCCGAGATCGTGGCTCCCATGGAGCGCAGCGACTGTCCCTCGGAGAGCTCCTTCGTCTTGGCGATGACCTCCTGGTCCGTCCGTATGTGGCCCGTCGCCGACAACATCTGCGCGATGAGGTTCCACCGGCCGGCCTGGCCGCCGGGGTACTTCTGCAGGCCCTCTTAGCGGGGGGGGGGAGCGGGGGCAGCCATCCTCCGTTTTTCTGCCCCCCCCCCCCCTCTCCTCATCCTCAACAGCCCACACCCCCTCCTCTTCCCCCCCCCCCCCCCCCCCCCCCCCGACCCCGCTGTCCCCGTGCCCGCCGACCGTCATGCGCAGGAGCCACTCGTCGGACTCTGGGGCTCGGGCAGACGGGAAATTTTCGGGAAAGCTGGGCCCAGGGCCCCCCCTGCGGCGGCTGGACCGCCCCGCACCCTTCGGCGGTGCCAGACCTGTGCCAGAGTGACCGACCTGTGGTGCGCGGCCTTCTGGGAGCCGCGGGGGGACCAACCCGAGCGCGCCAGACGCTGGGATCGCGTCGCGTCCAGCGATCTGGGGGCCCCGCTGTGCCCGCACCAAAGGTCGCTCCTGCGAAGGGCCACTCTTACGTGCAGTCGAACCCTTTCGTGGGGGCTCGCGCACCAGCCTGATCATCGGCCGCTCCTGGGCCCTGGTCCTGTCCCACCGCCCTCCTCCTCCTCCTCCTCCTCCTCCTCCTCCTCCTCCTCCTCCTCCTCTTCCTCCTCCTCCCCTTCCCTCCCTCCCTTCCTCCACCTCCTCCTCCTCCTCCTCCTCCTCCTCCTCCTCCTCCTCCTCCTGCTGCTGATCTCCTCCTCCTCCTCTCTCCTCCTCCTTCTCCTCCTCCTCTCTCCTCCTCTCTCTCTCCTCCTCTCCTCTTCCACCTCCTACTCCTCCTCCCCCTCCTCCTCCTCCTCCTCCTCCTCCTCCTCCTCCTCCTCCTCCTCCCAGGCGCCCCCCGACGGCAAGATCGGTGCTGCTCGGGGATCTGGGCCGACCCCGGGGACTCCCGCGGGCGCGGGCCGCTCCTGTCTGCTGCGGCCCGCGCGCGCCTGGGAAGCGGCCACCAGGCGCCGGAACCGGAGCCGCGGAGGAAGAACAAAAGCTGCATCAACGTTACGGTGTTCCATCCTACACTCGCCCAGGAGAGTGAGGATGCGCGGCGGTAAGGGTGCGGGGGCCTCGGAACGCCATGCTGACGCTTCCCGTGCGGAGGGCAGCAGAATGCCGGAGGATGCCGAGTACCGAAGGGGCAATCAGGCAAGGGTAGCCTTGGAAAGTTGCCCCATCCTTACTATCATGGTTGACTGTACTTCAGCCTTGATCACTAGTGCACCAAGAAAGGTCCGAAACTGGAGAGCTTCCGCGTGTCGGGCCCCGGGAGGCGATGCCCGTTCGACACTGTTTTGGTACTTTTTTTCTGGGTGCTCGAAACTATGCCTGGGACGTGGTCCTGAAAAACGCGTGGAACAACACAACATCAATGGCGGATTCCAGAATCCCGGAACCCAAAAACGGTTTCATCCTTCGGGGGCGCATCGTTCACTTTCCGCCGCCCTTCCGCTGGTGAAGGCGACCTCGTTTGACTCCCGCAGGCCTTCCGCCACCCTTCCGCCGGCGGAGACGACCTTGTTTACCTCCGCCGACCTGCCGCCGCGGAAGTGATGACAACTCCTTCGATCCTCGAAGTCAAGGCCCCTGTTGGAACACCCCACATGTAAACTTGGTCCAGAGCAGATCCAAGACATGCGCTCGGAGCGCCAAACCAAATATGTCTATACCCTTTCTGTTCTTCTTCGAAGTAAGCCTAGCCGTCGTGATGCTCTGCACAGTCCGGCTTGCACAGAGATGTCCCCGTCTGATATCGCGAGGGTTGTGTGAAAGGTCGCTGTCTGGGAGCGTCCGGAAGGCTAGGTTCGCACGCCTCCTGGCGCAACAATACATGATATGATAATTTAAGCTGTGTTGTATGCTGTGCTCGGCTGCACTGTGATGTGATAGGCTATGATCTGTCGTGCGTGGCTATGCAATGGTATGCTGAGTTGCACTATGCTATGTCGTGCTCGGCACTGCCATGCGATAATTCAATACTGCGCTATGCTGCTATGCAGTGCTGTGCTGGGCATTCCATTGCTGATTTGCATCGCACGGCACCTCACTGCGATGCACCTCGTTGCGTTGCACTGCGCGTGGAGGTGTTCAACAGGAGGACTATCACTGATCGGGGTCGCTCTGGGCTCACTCGAGTCGCCAAGGACTAGGTGCCTGGCCGGAAGGAGTCCGCGGCGCACACGGACACCCCAAACGAGACCTCGAGAGAGAAAGCCTCTCGAGGCTCCGCGCGGACCTCTCGAGCCCGGCACTGGACAACCCCCGCGCCCCACATCCCGTCACGGCCGTCCCCGGCCAGCACAGCCCGCCAGCCCAGGGCGGCGCCGGAGCCCGCAGGCCCAGGGTGGAGGGAGTCCCGGCGGCAGCCCACGGGGTGCGCAGGAGCCGCGGAAAGAGGATTCCCAGCCCCCCGTGTTGGCTTCTCGCTTCAGCAGAGCACTGGGGTCTCCTCTCCTCCCTCCCTGCCACCCGCCCCCTCCTGCCTCCTGGCCCCTGCTTCCTGCCTCCTGTCTCCTGCTTCCTCCGCTTCCTCCTCCCTCCTCTCCCTCCTCCCTCCTCCTCCTTCCTCCTCCTTCCTCCTCGTCCTCCTCGTCCTCCTCTTCCTCCTCTTCCTCCTCCTTCCTCCTCTTCCTCCTCCTTCCTCCTCTTCCTCCTCCTTCCTCCTCTTCCTCCTCTTCCTCCTGGCTCCTAGCTCCTGCTCTCCTCTGCCTTCGCTTCCTCCTCCTCCACTCGTCCTTCCTCCTCCTTCCTCCTCTTCCTCCTCTTCCTCCTGGCTCCTAGCTCCTGCGCTCCTCTCCCTTCGCTTCCTCCCCCACTCCTCTCCTCTTGGTCCTGCTCGCGCGCTGCGGCCCCGTGGTGGCCCTGCCTCTCTCGGTGTGCGCTCCTGGGGACAAAGGGGAGCCCCTCGCTGTGCCCCGTGGGGGCGGCCGCGAAGCGTGAGGCCGCTGCCCGCGTCGTGGGCGCCTCCCGGGATTACCAGCCTGGAACGTAGCCCTATCCCTATGCTGGGCACCTCCTCATCACAATGCCAATCTTAGGGATTCCCTTCTTTTTGGGGGCGAATCCCTAAGATTGTCATCGCCTTTTGGCGTGCCCATCTTGGGGATAGGGATACGTTCGAGGCTGGTAATGGGAGGCCCAGCGCAGGGGAGCTGTCAACGCACCCGGGCGAGACCCTCCCGGGGGTGGCCCGGGAGTGCGCAACTGTCGCCACTTCCGCGGGCTCCTGGGAGGCCCAGCGCAAGGGAGTTGTAAACGCCCCCAGCCGAGACCCTCCCGGGGCGGCCCGGGAGTGCGCAAGTGTGGCCGCCTTCGTGGGCTCCTGGAAGGCCCAGCGCAGGGGAGTTGCAAACGCACCCAGCCGAGACCCTCCCCAACGGAGGGGAGTTGTAAACGCACCCAGCCGAGACCCTCCCTGGGTGGCTTGGGAGTGCGAAAGTGTCGCCATTTCCGTGAGCTCTTGGGAGGCTCAGCGCAGTGAAATTGTAAACGCACCCAACCGAGACCCTCCCTGGGTGGCTTGAGAAAGCGCACGTTTCGCAACTTCCGTGGGCTCCTGGGAGGCCCAACGGAAGGGAGTTGTAAACGCAACCAGCCGAGACCCTCCCTGGGTGGCTTGGGAGTGCGCAAGTGTCGCGGCCCAGCGGAGGGGAATTGTAAACGCACCCAGCCGAGACCTCGCGGCTCTCCTGGGGGGGGGGGCTGCGAAATGCGACACTGTCGCCACGTTCGTGGTCTCCCGGGAAGCCCAGCGGAAGGGAGCTGCAAAGCACTCGGCCGAGACCTCGCGGCTCCCCATGGGGGGGCGGCGAAGTGCGACACTGTCGCGAGTTGCGTGGGCGCCTGAGAGGCCCAGCGGAACGGATGTATAAACACACCCAGTCGAGGCCCCGCGGCTCCCTACGAGGGCCGCGAGCTGCGCAGCCGTCGCCACTTTCGTTGGCTCCTGGGAGGGCCAGCGCAGGGCACGCACCCAGCCGAGACCTCGCGGCTTCCTGAGGAGGCGGCGAGCTGCGCAACTGTCGCCACTGTTGAGGGCTCCTGAGAGGTCCAGCGGAGGGGAGTTGTAAACACACCCAGTCGAGACCTCGCTGCTCCCTGGGGGGCTGGTACTGCGCACCTGTCGCCACGTGCTTGGGCTCCTGGTAGGTTCGGCGGAGTGGAGCTGTAAACGCACCCAACCGAGATGTCGCGGCTCCCCTGGGGGAGCGGCGAAGTTCACTGTCGCCACTGCCGTGGGCTCCTGGGAGGTCCAGCGAAGTGGAGCTCCCTGAGGGGCTGCGAACTGCGCCACTGTCGCCATGTGAGTGGGCTCCTGAGAGGCCCAGCGGAGTGGAGTTGTGAACGCACCCAGCCGAGACCTCGCGGCTGCCTGGGTGGCTGCTAAGTGCGACGCTGTCGCCACTTCCGTGGGCTCCTGGGAGGCCCAACGGAGGGGAGCTGTAAACGCACCCAGCCGAGACCTCGCGGCTCCCCGGGGGTGGCTTGGGGGTGCGCCACTGTCGCCATTTCCGTGGGCTCCTGGGGAGCCAAGCGGAGGGGAGCTGTAAACGCACCCAGCACGCACCTGGGCTGCGAAGTGCGACACTGTCGCCAGTTTCGCGGGCTCTAGGGAGGCCCAGCGGAATGGAGTTGCAATCACACCCAGTCGAGACCTCGCGGCTCCCTAAGGAGGCTGCTAACTGCGCAACTGTCACACATTTCGTGGGCTGCTGAGAGGCCCAGCGGAGTGAAGTTGCAAACACACCCAGTCGAGACCTCGCGGCTCCCTGGGAGACTGCGAACTGCGCACCTGTCGACACGTTCTTGAGCCCCTTCGTGTCCTTCAACACGCTCGTTTGTATGAATCGGTCCTGTGCATCGTCGCCACATGTGTAAAAAGGGGTGGGTACGTCGCAGGGTAATGCTTTTCGTACCGAGGTCTGGTCTTCGAAAGAAGACGTCTGCGGTCCAAGCACGGCCACAGGAGCGCGGGTCAAGGACACGAGCCCTCTTAGCCGAAGGCCAGGTGCCCCACCGTAGGGATGCCAAGCGAGAAGAACACTCGAAGGCGGGGAGTCCGAAAGCCACGAAGAACGCAAGCACTGTTTCCCTTCCGAAGCCAGAGTTGTTCTCCGCCGAAGAGGGGGGGGGAGGCGTCCCTGGCCCAAGTGTGCCCAGCTGTGGTCGCCATGTTGGCCCATCTGGGCGGGGCGTCGTGAGGGGGGGCCATTGAGGCTCCTCCTCCTCCTCCTCCTCCTCCTCCTCCTCCTCCTCCTCCTCCTCCTCCTTCTCCCTCTCCTATTCCTCCCCCTCCTCCTCCTCCTCCTCCTCCTCCTCCTCCTCCTGCTCCTCCTGGTTGACAAACCTCGACTAACCCCTGTGCCACTACTTCGAGGCCCCGAAGCAGTGCGACGGACAGCGTGGTGGCATCGGAGCCCGCGACGACCTCACCGCGCGGTCCGCCACCGCACTGCTTTTGGGACCTCGGCGGCCCCAGGTCGCCCGAGACGTCCTCTGAGAACGCTTCGAGTCCCCAAACCGTACCGAACCAAGCCAAGTCGGGGGATTACTGACCCGGGTCAATCCAGACCCGGGGTCAGTCAGGCGTCGCCTGATCCTGCGGGGCTCGGCAGGATCCTGCAGGACCCTGCGCGCGAGCCCGGGTCCGTGCCCCCCTGGCTCTGCAGGGTACTGCAAGACCTGGCGCTCTGGCTGACCCCCGCTTGCACTGGCCCCCGCCTCTTGGGCCCCCGACCAAGCGTGCACGTCGGTCGAGAAATAGTAGGTAAAACCATGAAGTGGGAAGGCGGGCAGAGTGCAGACTGGGCCCAGGCCCTCCCAGCGAATAGCAGAACACAGCAAGAGCAGATCGACTCTTGCAGTAGGAAGGCGCTCGAAGTAGACTGGGACCCGGGAAGCCAGAAACACCTGCTTTCGGCGACCGGCGTATACGCACACCCGTGCCAGAGGCCCACGACTGGCCCAGCGCGGGCCTCGGTGCAGGCACGGGCGGCCGCGCACGACGGGGCGGGGCCGCCCGAGAAGGCACGGGGGGGAGCCTCCGAGAAGGCACCAGCGGGGGGGGGGGGGGAACAGCGAATGGTGGCAGGTGGCGCCTTCTAAGGTCTTGAAGGTCTGAATTGTGGAGGTACGCTGGCGCCTCTCCCTGCGGCCGGCCGTCTTCGCTGGCCGAGGGACCGTATAGGGTCCGAGAAGCCAGCGCGGGAGAAGGAGGAGCAGGAGGAGGAGGAGGAGGAAGAGGAGGGGGGAGGAGGTGGAGGAGGAGGAGGAGGAGGAGGAGGAGGAGGAAGAGGAGGAGGAGGAGGAGGAGGAGGAGGAGGAGCCGCCTCAGAAGCCACCGCGCCCATCGGGGAGGCCACTGCGAGGCCCTCCCGGCCCCGCGAAAAGGCCGCCCCCCCTCTCGCCGCAATCCCATGTGCTGCGCGCAGCCCAAAACCGTGGGCACCCCCCGGGGCCTTGGCCAGGATGCCGAGCTCCTCCGTCGACCAGGGGGACCCCGCCGCCGCCGCGGCCGCCGCCTCTCTGGCAGCGTTCTGCTTCTTCTCTTCCTGTCTCCTCGCCTCTTCCTTCGCCCGCTTTTCCTCGGGAGGGAAGGGGGTCGGGGAGGGGGACCGAGGGGGGGGGAGGGGAAGAGAGAGGACAGGGAAGAGAAGGAGGAAGAGGAGAAGGAGGTGGGGAGGAGGAGCGAGGCGGTGGACGAGGAGGAGCGAAGAGGTGGGAGCGTCTAGGGCGAGGAGGAGCGAGGAGGAGGAGGAGGAGGAGGAGGAGGAGGAGGAGGAGGAGGAGGAGAAGGAGGAGGAGAGGGAGGATCGAATATAGGTGTTCCTGGGCGCTTGGGCCTCACACAGGGCGGAGGCGGAGGCGGAACAAGAGGACGGGCGAGACAGAAAAGGCGAGGGGGGGGAAATGACCCCGCCCTTCCAGGAGGCAAGGACTGCGCAGACCTGGGCGACAACTCAAACTCGAAGGTCCGGTGATATTCCTTCAGAGGACAGAACATGCATACACGTAATGTCTCGAAGCTCCCCGCGATCTTTGTTGGAGAATGGTAAGAATATCGAGGAGAGCATTCGAATGAAGTTTGAATGGAGTCATACGGGATGGAGGACATATGGTGTACCTCGTTTGGTCGCGGTAGGCCCCTGGTGCCAGCCTTTGGTGTTTGAACGGCTTATGAAGCCCTTCGGTGCCCACCCCACCCCGTCCACAGGCCCCCTACCGTGATGGTAACACCCGTACTGCTGTGCACACTCGTACTGCACATGGGCGCGCTGCTAGCCCCCAGCCGTGCTGGCAACAGTGGTGTCAGTAGTTAGGCTGGCTTCATCTCGTGGTGCTGCTTGCACCCGCGCTGCTCAACGACGTAATGCTGGTCCAAGTCGTGCTGGTCACAATGGTCACGATTCTCCTGGTCGCCGTGAGGCTGCTGAGTCCCCTGAAGCCAATGAGCTACACGACGCACTGAGAGCGCTAGGGACGGCGCTGGGCGCGGACCGTGGGGGGGGGGCCAGCACCCATCCGAGAAATCTGCGCGGAGCTCAGAGAAATCATGTTTCTGCACGTCTTGCCTTTCCTACTCAAGAGGACCCCTAACCATCTGGGAGGGGACCAAAGTCAGGAGGCCCAAAAACACTCGGGATGGGGTCTGTGCTCTGAGGACGTGACGAACCAGACAGCCCAGATGTGTCACCCCCCGTGCAGAGACGGGGCCCTGCGTGACGCCACGCCTTCACTGTGCTAGCAGGATCTGGGGCTCCTTCCTCCCCGATGCCTTGTGCCCAGACCACCGACGTCATGATTTTTTCATGACGCGGCCCCCAGAGATCCGGACCCCTTCACCAGGACCGGCTTCTCATCCCGAGTCGTTTTTTGACGGTCCCGAGGCCCGGTGAGGGCCCCCAGGGGCCGAAAATGGCGAAAACCCCCCCCGTCGTGATTTTTTCACGACCCGAGGGGGTCTGGGTGGGGGGAGGGCCGGCCGCACGTCCTGCTCGGCCTCCTCGGCTCTCCTCTGCCCGAACTCGCGCATCTCGCGCCGCACCGCCGCGTCGGCGTCCTCGGCACGCGGCCGGCTCGGCCTCCCGCGAAGGCCCAGCGCACGGCTCCATGCCCAGTGCCCGGGCACGGTGGCAGCATGGGCCGAAGGCCATGAAATCCGCCGCCCCCTGGCCCAAAAGGGCCCAATGAGGCCCCCAAGAGGGCCTCCAGGAAGGCCAGAAGAGGCCTAACACATTGATTGCCCTTAGGTTTTTGACGGATTTTGACATTTCCTTCTTTTCGGCCTTCCGACGGCCCGAGACGGCCCAAGAGCTCCCAAAGATCGCCGAAAGATCGCCCAAGAGGCATCCAAGACGGCCAAGCTGACCTGCAAGATGCCCACGTGTTCCCCGAAGGCTTTCCAAACCGATTCGGGGAACACATGGTCCGATGGCTTGGCAAGTCTGGCCTCAACTTTCGGCCACAGAGGCGCTTCCACAAAAGCAGGGGGCGGCGGTGATTCACCGTAGGCGTCTTCGATCCGCCGCCCCCTGGGGATTCATCACAGGGGTGCCTGGCGTGCCAGATCCTCTCGGTTTTGGTCTTCGTTTTGGTTTTGGTTTTTTGGCCTCCGGCGCGTGTTGCCGGGATCCCGGGAAGGTGCTCCATCTGGAAACAAATCCTCCAAGATGGTTCAAGATGGCGCGCCAAGATGGCCACGTTGGCCCAAGATGGCCTCCAAGATGGTCCAAGATGGGCTTCAAGTTCGCCCAAGATAGTTCAAGACGGCCTCCAAGACTGCCCAAGAGAGTCCAAGACGGCCCAAGAGGCCCCCAAGAGGCCTCCAATACGGCCCAAGAGGCCTCCAAGAGATCCTCCAGGAGGGCCCGAAGAGGCCCAAATCAGAGACGTTCCTTTGGTATTTGAAGGATTTGGGCATTCGCTACTTCTCGGCATTCCGACGGCTCAAGACGGCCCAAGAGGCCCCCAAGATCGCCCCAAAATCGCCCACTAGGCCTCCAAGAAGGCCCCATGACGGTCCAAAAGGCCTCCAAGACGGCCCCAAGAAGAGCCCAAGACGGCCCAAGATGGCCCCGAAAACGCCGAAGATGGCCTCCAAGACGGCCAAGATGGCCTTCAAGATGCCTCCAAGGCGGCCTCCAAGACAGCGAAGATGGCCCCAAGATGCACCCAAGACGGCCCCAGATGGCCTCAAAATGGCCTTAGACTGCCCAAAAGGCCCGCAAGAGGCCTCCAATACGGCCCAAGAGCCCTCCAAGACGTCCTCCAGGAAGGCCCTATAGGGTCAAAATGGCCTCCATACGGACCACGTGTTCCCCGAAAGCTTTCCAAACCGATTCGGGGAACACTCGTTCCGAAAGATTGGCAAGGACCTGACCCAGCATTCGGCCAGCAGGCCCCAAGACGCCTCCAAAAGCTCACAAGAGCCCCCAAGGGGCCCCGAAGGCTTTCCAAACCGATTCGGGGAACACATCGTCCGATAGCTTGGCAGGGCTCTGGCCTCAACGTTCGGCCACATAGGCGCTTCCGAAAGGGCAGGGGGCGGCGATGACTCGCCGTAGGCGTTTTCGATCCGCCGCCCCCTGTTGATTCATCACAGGGGTGCCTGGCGTGCAAGATCCTCTCGGTTTTGGTTTTGGTTCTTTTTCCAGAAGAACTCCCCCTTGGCCTCCGGCCCGTCCCGCCGGGGTCCCGGAAGGGATCTCAATCCTCAATTTTCCCTCCAGGACGACTCAGGACGGCCTCCAAGATGGCCACGTTGGCCCAACATGGCCTCCAAGATGGTCCGAGATGGCCTGCAAGTCCGCCCAAGATGGTCCAAGACGGCCTCCAAGACGGCCCAAGAAAGTCCAAGATACCTACAAGTTCGCCCAAGAGGCCTCCAAGACGGCCCAACACGACCCAAGAGGTCTCCAAAAGATCCTCCAGGAGGGCCCGAAGAGGCCAAATTCATTGGTTTTCCTACGGTATTTGAAGGATGTTGGTAATTATTCGCTTCTTCGCGGCATTCCGACGGCTCAAGACGGTCCAAGAGGCCCCCAAGATCGCCCACGAGGCCTTCAAGATGGCCCCATGACGGCCCAAGAGGCCCCCAAGAGGGCCCCAAGAGGGCCCCAAAACGGCCCAAGAGGCCTCCAAGACGCCTGTAGGAGCCCCTGATATGCCCAAGAGGGCCCCAAGACGACCCAGACAGGCTCCCAAGACGGTTTCCGACGGCGTCAGACAAGCCAGGAACGCCCTAAGACGGCCAAAGAGGCCCCCGAGAAGCCCCCAAAGGCCCCCAAAAATCCTCCAAGAGGCCCCCAGGAAGCTCCCAGGAGGCCCCAAGAGTGCCCCAAGAGGCGCCCAAGATGCCTCCTCCTCCTCCTCCTCCTCCTCCTCCTCTTCCTCCTCCTCCTCCTCCTCCTCCTCCTCCTCCTCCTCCTCTCCTCCTCTTTTTTCCCTCATCCTCCCCCTCCTCCTCTTCTTGCTCCCCCATGCGTTCTCCGAAGTCTTTCCAAACCGACTCGGGGAACAACTGGCCCGATAGCTTGGCCAAGCTCCGGCCCAGCTGCCGGCCACAGAGGCGCGTCCAAAGAGGCGGGGGGCGGCGGTGATTCGCCGCAGGCGTCTTCGATCTCCTGCGCTGCAGAAGCACAACGAATCAGCCGACGTTCCGTATCATTTCCTACTCCATCTTCACGCATCCCCATCAGGTTCCATAGTTATCTGTTTCGGGCCGCCCGCGGGATTGGCGGGCCCCAGCGAAGCCCTGAGGAGGCCCAAGAGGAGGGGCCCAAGGAGAGACCAGGAGGCACCCAAGAGGAACCCAGAACAAGCATCTTTGCCGCAGCGACGCTCGGGTCGGGTGAGAGTCAAACGAGGGAAAGCTATCCAGAGCGCTACCCTGCCCCCGTCGCGACGGCTGGCTTGGCGCGACGAAAGTCTCGTCTGAACGCACCCCTCGAGAGGTCCGGCGATTCTCCTTGTCGGCACCTTGCTGCGCGCCTCCCCAGAGAGGGTGGGCAGGGAAGGGACGGTCACCGCATCGGCTCGCGTAGCTATTTTGATCATCCCCTCCTGGCGCCAGGAGAGGCCAGAGCATCGAGGAAAGCGGCCAGCGACGGGCCCAGGGCCACAAACCATCTGCACGCAGCATGTTTCGTAGCCTCCCCTTCCCCCAAAATCCCCCCCGCTCGTCCGAGCACCGAGACGAAGAGCGAAGCACCGAGACGAGAGCGAAGCACGCAAGAGTGACCCTAGGCAAGAGTGAGCTTTGATGCGCGAATCTCGGAGGCCCAGGGGAGGCCAAGTCCGAGCGCGCAAAACGCTGTTATCGCATCGCGTTCAGTCATCCGGGGACCCCGGAATGTCCGCACCAAAGGTCCCTCTGGCGAAATAGACGAGCGCGGTCCACTACTCGCAAAGAGACTACTCGCAAATGGCCCGGATCCCCCGCGGAGGATCTACGGTAAATTACATCAACGCAGACATTTGTTTTTCGGGCGTTTGCGAGTAGGCACTTTGCGAGTGGTGGAACGCGCTCGGTGACGGAAGGTCACTCTTACGCGTAGCGGAATGAAGCATGTTTGGGAACCTGCCGGGCCGCGGCCGAGCTACTCAGCGACGAGTCCAGGGGGGAAGTGAGAAGGAGAAGGCCTTATCAGAAGGCCCGTAAGTACCCCTGCCTTCAGAGAAGTTTTCTAAGCCTTCCCCGAAGACACAGAACACTTCTCAGAAGGCGCGAGGGCTTCTGGGAAGTCCCACCGCCTTCTGAGAAGGCATTCTCCTTCGCACTTCCCCCCCTCGCTTGCCGCCGAGAGCTACTGTTGCACACCAGGCAAGCACGGAAACGAAGAGGGCGGCTGCGCATAATCTTCACGTAGCCTCGTCTCTATCAGAGAGGCGTCGTGACCGAAACTGTGCCCGAAAATCTGCACGAGTGTGCCCGAAACTGGCGCCCGAAAGCGCCCGAATGTGACCAACATGTTCGCCCCACCCTCCCCCTCAGAAATCGCGGGGGGTAGGGGTACAGTCGGACTTCATTGGACGGGACACGCGAGAGGACAGAAGACCCTTCCCAGGGCCACATTGCCATAGGAATGCAGGAGGCATGGGTCGCGAGACGCAGGACACAAAGGTACCCTTGATTTGGCAGGGTCGACCTTTGCTAATATGGGCCGACTGTGGGGTTCGCATGTGCCACCCTGGCGGGGAGGACCCGAGCGCGCAAGACGCTGCTGCCGCATCGCGCTCAGCCCTCTGGGGGCCCCGGTGTGCCCGCAGCAGAGGGCACTGCGGCGAGAGGCCACTCCCGCCTGCAGGACGAGGTCGAGGGCGAGGGCGAGGAGGACGAGGGCGAGGAGGAGGAGGAGGAGGAGGAGGAGGACGAGGACGAGGAGGAGGAGGAGGACGAGGGCGAGGAGGAGGACTGGGAGGGAAGCCCTCGATCCACTCCAGCCGGCCTTACGCCGGCGCCAGAGGCGCGCCGGCCTCGCGATCCCTTCGATGGCGGCGGCCCGCCCCCCTGGAGAGCGCCGCACACGTGTGGAGAAGGGGAAGAGCAAGTAAAATAAGATAACGAATAAGAATGTTAATGAGGAGGGACAACGAGAAGAAGGGAGCACTCAGAACAATACGAAGAATGAGACGAATCATAGTAGTAAGACTTCTACTACTACTACTACTACTACTACTACTACTACTACTACTACTACTACTACTACTAATAATACTATAACAATAACAATAACAATAATAATAATAGTCATACTCCTAATAATAATCATAATAATAATCATAATAAGAATAATAATAAGAATAATAATAATACTGGTAATACTAATAACGACAATACTACGAATAATAATAATACTAATACTACTAATAATAATAGTAATAATAATAACAATAGTAATACTAATAATAACATTAATAATAACAGGAATAATAACAGTAATGATGATACTAACGATGGTAATACTAATTATTCTTATTATTAGTATAAGAAGAAGAAGACGAGGAAGGCACGACCCTGAACTGTCGGAGGGCCGCGCAGATTGCTTGGAGCGGCGCGGGACGCCCTATCCCTGGCGCGAGCTGATTCTTTTCGAACCCAAAAGCCTTGACGATAGGGGAGGAGGAGTAGGAAGTAGGAGGCAGAGCGTCAACAAAGAGGGCTCCTCCGATCCTACCTCTGCTACCGCCTCTGGTCGGGAGATACACGGCAAACCTCGCCGCGTACGTCATTCTCGAAGCTACGCCGTCCCCTCGTCGAGCGTAGAGGAGAGGATGGAGCTGGTACAGAAGGGCGACAGAGCGAAGCCTCTCGGGGAGGGATTAGGAAGCATGAGGAGGAGGAGGAGGACGAGGAGGAGGATCAGGAGAAGGAGGCGGAGGAGGAGGAGGACGAGGAGGAGGAGGAGGAGGAGAAGTAAGAGAAGGGCCGCGGTGGCCAGAGTGCCGATTTCTGTGGCAACTCATGGGGGCATCCCATGTCATCTTGCTGGCCTTGGCGAGTCGACGCGACGATACATCGACGCCAGTCGAGGCTCAGTCTGCAAATTCTCATCGATCATCGGACGCTGGCGCACGCGAAAGTACTCTGGAGACGGGCTGCCGAGGATACGGCTCCCGTGAATCAGATTCAGAAGCCAGAGCCGCAGGGTAGCCCTGGAGCTCGCTTCGGCTTCCAGCGGGACAGCTCGGCACGGCCTGCTGGGCCTCGCAGCGGGTCCGGACAGGCCTCCTCGAAGCGTTTCCCAGTACGCGTGCCCGGAAGCTCTCCCGACAGTCCTCGGGAAGCTCTCTCTAGGTCCTCCCGGGGCTCTTCGACGGGCCTCCCCACGCCCTTCGGCCGCCCTGCTATCCCCGGGCTCTGAATCCCACTTAAGTGCTGCCGAAGCCGATGGTCCTTCTTGGCCACTGCCTCCAGCCGGCTGCAGAGGGCCTCCAGGGCCTCCGGCTCCGAGGCCAGGCAGAGCTGCTGCAGCTCCTCCGACTCCTCTCGGCGCACCAGCGGCCGCCGCCACCGCCGCCTCCGCCGCCACGCACGAGCGGCGCACGCATCCGCAGCTAGGCAGAGGGGCCTCGTCACGTGATGCGAAGTGCCCCCCCTCCCCACCGACTCCCCCTCCTCTTCCTCCCTTGTATCCTCCTCCTCCTCCTCCTCCTCCTCCTCCTCCTCCTCCTACTCGCCCTCCGATTCGCGCATCGCGTGCCGGATCCAAGTCGCCGCATGTCCGCGCCCTCGCGGTCTGAACTCTGGGGCGCGATCCCCCCGATACGCAGTCGCACAGATGCGTCCCGCGCGGGGCATCCGCGAACAAAAACGCGCCCCGTATCCGCGGGGTCGCGGCACAGGTACATTTCGACACCCGAAATGGGTACCGAAAGAATGGGCACAATGCCCAACAACGAATATTGTCCCAAACCAACAGCGGCCGCCGTTGGGCAGGCGGCCTTCTGTCTCGAATGGACACAGGCCGCGGCGGCGTGGACAGCGAGTCCTGTTCAAAATGAACAGGAACTGCTGTTGGGCATTGTACTGCTGGTGCGCGGCTTTTTGGGGTCCGCGAGGGACCAAACCTGGGCGCGCAGGCCGCTGCTCCTGCTTCGTGTTCAGCCATCTGGGGACCCATCTGCGCCCGCACCAAAGGCCACTCCGGCGAAAGGTCACTCTTCCGTCTAGTCGAGACCCGCCCGCCGCCATCGTCGCGTCTGGGCCGATCGGCCTCGAGTCGGCTCGGATCGGAGCGCGCCGCACCAGCACGGAGTGGAGAAATCGGACCGGGCCGCCTGCGCGCGAGGATGCGCCACGGCGCCGCGCAGGCAGCGGGTAACTTCGGATCGCCCGAGTGTCGGAACCGGATCGGTTCGGGCCGGCTGGAACGGATATCGAGTCGGCTCGACTGGATCGAAGTGGACCCTCGCGCATCGGTTCGAAGAGGTCAGCGAGGGTCGGCGTTGGCAGCGCTCTCGTCGTCGTCGTCGTCGTCGTCGTCGTCGTCGTCGTCGTCGTCGTCGTCGTCGTCGTCGTCGTCGTCGTCGTCTCGTCGCTCGCCCCTGCTTGGGGGGACGAGGCTGTTCTGGGGTGCAGCTGGGAGGCTCCCTCCTCGCCGTCGCTCGGACGCCCGCTCCCCGTGCATGCGTTTCGGTGTCGTCTTATGTCGGGCGTATCCCCCTACAGGGGGATTTTCGAACACCAAAAATGCCCCGAAAAGGTCAAACAATACTCACAAAATAGTCTCCAGACTATTTTTTTGGACTATTGTTTGACTATTTTGGGGGTATTTTTCATTTTTCGTCGAAAACCCCCCTGCAGGGGGACAGGCCCGACTTAAGTGTCGTGGGTGCTCAATTGTGCCAGATGATCCAACATGCGGAGAAACACACACCTCCTCGCGGAGAAAAATGCACACCTCCGAGCGCCGCCGAGCCCTGGGCTGAACGGATCTCCTTCCTCCTTCACCTCGTCCTCCCCCTCTGGAGGAGACCTTAGACCTCCGGAGACTTCAAAAGAGACCCTCGGGCCTGCATGCAGAGACCCCCCCGAGACCTCTGCAATCCTCAGGGGGAACATGAGGGTTTCAGTGCAGCCCAGTGCAGCTCAGGCGGGGGGAAGGGGAAATAGTGTGGTCTCAAAGAAAGCGCTCCCGTGCCCTCAGGACGTTCTGCGGTGCTTCTCCAGTGGGCTTGGGATTAAAGGGAGAGGATGACGACGAGGGGGACGAGAAGAAAGAAGGCACGGTTTTCTTAAACTTCCTGGGTGGGTAGAACCAAGCTGTGTCCCCAATCCGTAGGCATGTGAGGACACCACGCAACTCGAAGAGCTGCGGCGACCGTTGTTCAGGAGCGGTCCCTCCCGGCCCCACACGTAACGTCAGAGCATAACATCACATGCAGATACGTCATATGGTGTACCAGCCCGTCATTGCACTGAACTCAACTCTTAAACTTCCTGGGGGGAGAAAGCGGGGAGGGGGATGCCTCCCACCCCCTGAGTTTTGCCGCCTTGAAGTTCGATCCAAAAACTTGCCCCAGACCGCCCTCTGACTTGACGTGGAGGCAGCGCTGGATCCAGCCACGGCGGCGATGTGACACCCCGAGGAGGCCCAGAGATGGTGCAAAGCGTAGAGATCCCCCCCTCTCCGTCCTTTCCGCCGTTGCAGTACGGAGGAAGGAGGCTCAAGCCCGGTGATTTCGGCTCCTTCGGTCCTCGGTGCTCAGCTTGCAGTTGGCGGACGCCCACTTCTTCAGGCGCTGCCGCAGGCCCTTGGCCACCTGCTGAACCTGGGGGAACATCAGACAGAGCAAACATGAACTGTCGTGAGGTCCACGCGGATGTCTTGAATCGGCACTGGACCACTCTCCCTGGCGTGCCAAAGGCGCGCCAGGGACGTCGCTGGAGGCGCAGCCAGAGGGGCCCAAGCGCCGATCCACGAAATCCGCGCGGACCTCCAACAGTTGATGCTTACGGCAGCTTCGTATCGTGCCGACTTCGGCGGTGCTTTCTGACACCGCGTGGATCCTTCAACCTTGATCGCGCTGGGCGAAAAGGGGGGATAGCAAAGGGGGGTTTGAGAATCAGCTCACGTAGCTGATTTTCACGGCGCCTCCCGGCGCCGGGAGGCGGCCATGCATCGAGGCATGGGCCCCTCGGTGGGGCCGAAGCCAGCTGCACGCAGCAAATTTCGTACCCCCCCCTTTCCCTATCCCCCCCTTGGGGGGGGGGGGCCACATGCGAACCCTACCCCTACCCCCCACGAGTTCTGAGGGGGAGGGTGGGGTTCACTTCGCTCGGGAGCTCCCGAGCGAAGTGAACCCCACCCTCGCCCTCAGAAATCGTGGGGCGTAGGGGTAGGGTTCGCATGTGGCCCCCTACCCCTTTCCTTCGGCCCGACTTGAGCGATCGCGGATTCCGCGGGCGCAGCCTGTCTGAGATGGGCCGACCTCGGGCCGCTGGCGGCGTTCGGCCTGGAACGCCCGCGCCGGGGTCGCCCAGCCGTGCCGACACGACACGGGCCCGTCGTACGCCGCCTTTTTCCTTCCCGGAGGCCTCCTTCCGCCTCTCCCTGGCGAGCCGCTCCTCCTCCTCCCTCCTGGCCTTCTCCTCCTCCTCCTTCCGCCTGCGGTCTTCCACGGCCTGCCTCTTGGCGTCCTCCTCCTCCTGCCTCGCCCTAGCCCGCCGCTCCTTCTCCTCCCGCTTCCTCGCCTCCTTCTCCTCGCGCTCGGCGCGGATGCGGGGGTCGAAGCGCTCGGCGGTCTCGGCGAGTCTGAGTATTCGTCGCCTCTCTTCCAGGTCGTAGCCCTTGACGATCTTCTGGTTCTGCCTCTCCATCCATCGCCGCTCCTCTCGGAACTCGGCCTCGTCCAGGTTGTACTCGCCGTGCATGGAAAAGTCACGCCACGAGTCGAAGCTAAGCCAGAAATCATAAAACTTGTGCACCTTTTGGATGTCTGTGCTCTCGTCTCCGAGATCGGGGACAGGGTGCCTATTGCTCCAGCGCGCGTTGCGCTGGAACACTGGTCCGAACGTCTTGAAGAATCCAATGGATTCGTCTACCTCGTCCGGCACGGACTCGTCGAAGTCCATCTGGGAGTCGTACTGCCGCCGCTTGCCCTGGTCGGACAAGACCTCGTACGCCTCCTGGATTCTGATGAACACCAGCTCCTTATCCGACAGTCCGGATGCGGGCTTGTCCGAGGACCCCTCCGCATCCTGCTTGTCGGGATGGTACACCAGCGCCATCTTGCGGTACTGCTTCTTGATCTGCTCCGCGGAGGCGCTCTCCGGGACCTCCAGCAGCTTGTAGAGGTCCTGCCCCTGGAGCTGCGGGCTCAGCTTCAGGACGCTGTTGGACTTCGCGCCGCCCTCCTGTCGGGCGCTGGCCGAACTGGGCTTAGTGGCACCTGGTTTAATGACTTGTACCGGGGGCGCCCCCCCGTCCCACTTCCACTGACCGGAACTGCCGTCACCCGAAACAAAACACCAGCTATGGCAAACCTGGCTTAGTGATTCTGGCCACCTCAGAGGCTCCGGGGCCCTACCACCAACCGGGTCCCCTCACCCGGGGTCCTGGCCATACCCGATCCTGAGAGGAGCAAGAAAACGAAAAACGAAACGACAAGCGTTCGACGGTCTGCGCGGGGCCTCTCGGGTCGGCGCTGAGACCCCCTGCCTGGCGCGCGGGGGCGGCGCCAGGCTTCGGTCGGGCATGCCCCCCGACAGGCGGGTGTTGGGCGAAACATCAGGAATAGTCAAGCATATCCCCCAGAGGTAAAACATAGTCGAGAGAAATCGTGCCCAGAGTAATGCTTGTCGATTCTTGAATACTCCTCCTGTAGAGGGACAAGCACGACTTAACGCCAGAGGCGCCGCCAGGGTGCCCTGGACGGCGCTGCACCCGCCGCGCGGATCTCTTGGATGGCGCTGGACCCCCTGGCGGTGCCTTTGGCGCCGCCCCTGGCGCGCTCCGCGCGCGAGGGAGAAGAGGAGGAACTCCAGCGCCTCTGAGAGAACATCCGCGCGGACCTCCAGAAATTTAAGCGTCTGCCTTTTTGTTGTCTTCTTCTTGGGGTGAGAGCATTGGATGCGGAACCTGCGGAACCTTTGGATAAGGAGCCCAGGGCCTGGACGACTGTGGCATACCACTGGACGCGTGGCCATGGAAGAAATCGCCTCCTTCACGAAACTAGGGACCTTCCACGGTCTGGCCACTCCCCAAGGAGCGCACGCCCCCCACCGTGTGCCCGTGTGCTCAGTCGGCTCCTTTCGCTTCTTCCGCCAGGACGCGTCGGCCGCCGCCTCGGGCTCGTCGTCGCTCGCGTCCTTCGCCTCGGCGGCGCCGGGCTTCTTCTTCCGCCTCGCCTCGAGGACGGGCCGCTCGTGGGCGCAGTGAAAGCCATGCCCCGCGGGCTCCAGACGCCTGGTCCTGTAGAAGGAGGGGGTTGGAGGAGGAGGAGGAGGAGGAGGAGGAGGAGGAGGAGGAGGAGGAGGAGGAGGAGGAGGAGGAGGAGGAGAGGGAGGAGGAGGAGGAGGAGGAGGAGGAGGGGGAGGGGGACGAGGAGGACGAGGAGGAAGAGAAGGAGGAGGAGGAGGAGGAGGAGGAGGAGGAGGAGGAGGAGGAGGAGGAGTAGCAGGAGGAGGAAGAGAAGGAGGAGGAGGAGGAGGAGGAGGAGGACGAGGAGGACGAGGAGGAGGAGGAGGAGGAAGAGGAGGAGGAAGAGGTCCTGAAGCAGACACCGTGCTCGATCACGGGCTGCCGGTCCTTCTCACACGCGGCGTCGAGCAGCGCGAGCATCCCAGGCCGCGGGCGCGGCACCGCGCGCGGCGGCGGGGGAGCGACGCGGGCATGCTCGAGCAGCAGGTTCGGGCGAAATGACGTGTGGACAGGAGGAGGAGGAGGAGGAGGAGGAGGAGGAGGAGGAGGAGGAGGAGGAGGAGGAGGAGGAGGAGGAGGGGGAGGAGGAGGAGGAGGAGGAGGAGGAGGAGGAGGAGGAGGAGGAGGAGGAGGAGGAGGAGGAGGAGGAGGAGAGGGAGGAGGAGGAGGAGGAGGAGGAGGAGGAGGAGGAGGAGGAGGAGGAGGAGGAGGCGGGGGAGGCGAAATTCGGGCGCAAAATCATGAGGGGGCGATGTATGGAGGGGGGGAGAAGAAAGGTGCCCCTCTCGGGACCCTGGAGGGCCCCTTCTGGGGCCCTGGAGGGCCCCTTCAGGGAGCCCTGGGGCCCCTTTTCTGCAGCCCTCGCTACCCCCTCAGTCATTCCACCTCCCGGTACGCGTGGCCCACGAGAGAAGAATCGGCGGCGAGCCCGTGGGGGAAGTGCGAAAGGGGGGGCCCTCTCAGAGGGCTCGGGAGTCCCTCGGCCTTCTGAAGCTTTTTCCACGCCTTCCCCGAAGAAGCGGAAAACTCCTCGGAATGCTGGATGGATTCTCAGAAGCCCCGCCGCCTCTTGAGAAGGCCTGCTCCTTCTCACTTCCCCCCCCCCCCCCTCGCTCGCCGCCGAAAGAGCGTGGCAGGACAGGTGGACGGGGGAGGCGAAAACGGTAGGGAACTGCTGCTCAGCGCGTCACGGCGGCGGCCCCGGCGACACACGACTGGCATGTCGCTCAGCTCCGCGGGGCGGGAGGTCGGGAAAGGCTCAGGACGCTGACGCTTGGGGACTGGGCCATGGATAGCGTGCCGCGCCGAGGGGTGGTGGGCCAGAACGGGCGGCGCGCGACACGCCAAGCAAATTTGTTCCTGACAGTAGACGAAGAGACCCCCCTGCATGTTTAGAAGGGAGGAGGGAGGATGATACAGTAAGGCCACATCCGCTCAAAAGCGGTCCCAAGACACCTCCCAGGGTCCATCTGGTAAAGTTTTTCACCCCGGATCTGTTTCTGACGGTCCAGGGGCCCCAGCAATGCCCAAAAACTTATCGAACCGAACACCTCGAACCTCTTCCCCACCTTCCTGGTCGCTGGAACCGGTGCTGGGCCACCTCAGATCCCCAGCCGACTCAAACGATCACGGTTTCTGTAAAGAAGACCACTTGCCGTTTTTGTTGTTGCTATGTCGCACCCCTCGTCGAGTCGCCTGATGAAAACTATCATCGCAATCTGCTGTTTCCTGCTACGAAACTTCCAGAAACCGCTGTGTACAGTCGGAACTAGGCCATAATCACATCTTTCAAGAACATGAGACCCCCGCCAGCAAGAACACACACAGAACATCCAAGGGTATCCCCCCCAGGATGCACAAAAAACCATCCAAGAACCCCGAAGAATAGCAGGGCACCCTCCCCGAACCGACCTCGATCTGATACCTCGGCCCAATTGTAAGACGTTGAACGTCGAACCTACACCTGCGCCGAATCCAGAGCAGAATCCACTTGCGGTTGGGGCAAGAACACATTCGCAGGCGCAGCGCTCACAAACGCACTGCGCCGCACTGTGCAGGCCTGCTACTGCTCGGAAGCGGCACGCGTCGCTCCCACGTGCTGTTGGCTACCATTCGCGGCGGGGTCGCACCGCCTGCAGGCGAGCGTGATGAAATAAGTGGTTTCGCGACGCGCAGGTCTATGCACTAGCCAAACAAGGGGGACGCCTGTGTATCCCAGCAAACAATATGCGTGTCCCTTCTCTTACGTTTTCCCCTCCTTCCCCTCCTCATCCTCTTTCGTTCCTCTCTCTCTCTCTCCTCCCCCTCCACCGTCCGCCACCTCCAAACACTCCTCCGTATGTCTCCCCCATCCTCCCTCCTCACTCGCTCCCATTCCCCTCCTCCTCCTCCTCCTCCTCCTCCTCCTCCTCCTCCTCCTCCTCCTCCTCCTCCTCTTCCTTCTGCTGGGCCATCTCTCCTCGTGCGCCTCCTTCTCCTCATCCTTCTCCTTCACACATCCGTCCTCCTGACCCTCACCACCTCGCTCCTCCCCCCACCCTCGTCCTCGCCGCGATCCTCTCCCGTACCTCCTGCTCCCGATCCCCCCCCACACGACTCCTCCTCCCACCCCTCCCCCTCCCCCTCCGCCACCTCGACCTCGACCTCGACCTCCTCCTCCTCTTCATCTGTTCCTTGAGCAGGCCGCGGGCGCGAGCGCGAGGGGTCAGTCCTCCGCCTCCTCCCTCCAGCCCGCTACCCCCCCCCGTCGTCGTCACGCCTGCCCCGAGCGGCCCCCGCAGATAGAGTTGTGGATGCCACGACAATGGACACCGTAACAGTCCGATTATTGAATTTAAAACGAGTTCAACATGTCGGAAACGTGTTATAAACATGTTTTAAACGTGAGTTTTACATGTTTGAAGCATGTTTAACACATGTTTTAGTCATCTGGAAATTACTTGGCAACATGCTTCCTCTCCAATGATCGTCCTCCACAACCATAGAGGCCTCCCAGATGGGGTCCGATGGGGTCGAAGGATCACGCAGGATCGACGATGCATCGCCGACGCATCGAACGCATCGACGATGCATCGGCGACGTTGGCGGTGCATCGGCAAAGCCGGCGAGGAAAATCTCGAGATGCACATCGAGCCGCATCGCCGATGCAGCGGCGATGCGGCGCGATCCTCCGACCCCATCTACTCCGACCCCGTCCGGGAGGCCGAGGGTTAGGTCGGGCGCGTCCCCCTACAGGCAGATTCTGGAGGAAGACTTGTAAAAATACCCCAAGCATGCTCAAATATGTTCAAGAATAGTCAACAGATCGTCCCCAGACTATTTCTGAACTATTCTTGAATACTCCTCCACTAGCGGGGCACGCCCGGCGTACACGTCGTTCATTTCTAATCGTGCTCATTTCTAATTGCACTCGTTTGTAATTGTTCCTGGCCCCCTAGTTCCCAGGACGAGGCCCAGGATAGAACACTTAGAAACGAGAGGATCTCGGCCCCCCGAAAAATCAAGGCGCTTTCGGAGATTTAGACATGAACACTGCGTATTCAAAAACGGCAGGAAATAAAAACAGGGGACGATGTGTTTAGTATGTTGGGGCATTTGTGTTAGCATTCTGGTTGCTATGTCCTCTATTTCTCGTCCAAGACCCGCCTGTAGATTAAAAACGAGCGCAATTAGAAGTGAGCACGATTAGAAATGAACGACGTGTACGTCGGGCGTGCCCCGCTAGTGGAGGAAGATTCAAAAATAGTACAGAAATAGTCTGGGGATGATCTGTTGACTATCCTTGAACACATTTGAGCACGCTTGGGGTAGTTTTACAAGTCCTCTTCCAGAATCCGCCTGTAGGGGGCCGCGCCCGACCGAACCCTCG